TTCCAGTAAGTTCTAATTCACCCACACATCTGTAAAGTAATAGAGTTAAATGTTAAGCCCACAGGAATCCTTTCAAAGATGGGTGTCCACCCAAAATGTATACGCACTTTAACAGTGGCTAGCTCAATTTTGAAAATGAAATGTATTTTAATAAAGACTGCCTTTATAATTATTCAAAGCGTGTGTACATTTTTGGGGGACATCCTATATAGCACGCAGTTGGCCTTCTGGAATTACAGCTGGGAACTCTGCTACAGGCTGACTCTCCAGAGAGAGAGATCTGTGGTGGGGTCATGCTGGGAGAACTGAGTACAGGGAGGTTTCTTTAGCTTCATGCTGGTTCTCCATGATCATGCCTTTCTCAGCAAACAACCTTTTGGTTATATAATGTGCATGTTCTTTTTAAAATATATTTTATTGATTTTTTTACAGAGAGGAAGGGAGAGGGATAGAGAGTTTGAAACATCGATGAGAGAGAAACATCGATCAGCTGCATCCTGCACACCTCCCACCAGGGGTGTACCCGCAACCAAGGTACATGCCCTTGACTGGAATCAAACCCAGAACCCTTCAGTCCGCAGGCCGACGCTCTATCCACTGAGCCAAACCGGTCAGGGCTAATGTGCATGTTCTTAATTCTTCCTGTCATTACCACTTTACAATTTTTCTATAGAGACTGTATTTGCTGCTGTTTTCTTGAAATCCCCTTGGGATAATGTCCCATAGTGATATTTCATAAAGTCTACAAAATTAAGCTTTTAATGTTATAGCAATGCCTCTGTTGCTTTTGACTCACTGATTATAGCAGTAAGAAATTTAAAGCTCAAAATGAAGAGGAGGATGCAAATTCCCCATCTGATTGCCTGTGTGATCTGTGCCTTGTTATTTCTGATAAGAAAACTTTGATGTCCACGGCTGTGAAATTTCTATCCTGTGCTATTTGTTACCATGCTGGGAGGTATCATCTTTTGGTTACCCTGTAATGTAAGTGCCTGACATTAAGCTTTTTGATTGTAGTATGAGCGCTTGACATTTTAAGTTTTTTACTGCCAAGGCATCCATTTCCGAAGGCATCCATCCTGAATAAACGTATGTATGACAGCTACCAGCAAAACAACCACACAAGGAACTAGGCTGCCCCCACTCATGAAGTTCACTTTTCCAGAAAGCCCTGGGTAACCTGGATAACTGACCATTTGAGTAGCCCCATTTCTCCCTTCCTGCACCCTAACTCCCTTTCTTATTATTTAAATTAGCCAATAGAGAGTGAATCCATAAAAACCTAGGCACCCCACCCTAGAACCCTAACAAAGGCAGAGCTCTAGGTCTGTGCTCTCTCCCATGCCCCCAAACTTGCTGTGCCCCTTGGGCTTGCTGGGTACCCTCAAGGACCTGTGAGTGATAAATCTTGCTCCTCAAAGTTCCCTGATGATTTCGGTGCAGCGCATCCTGCAGCCATAATAGAAGGCCTGGGGCTGGTCCTGCCACTACATTAACCTCCCCCCAAGCCCCTGCCCCAAAGTGGGGTAAATGTCTGTGCCGGCTCACCACAAGTCATCAGGCCAAGCAAGTACCTCGGGCATTCCTAGCAGACAGCATCACTATCAGCAGGCAGAGAGCCACGCGACAGTGATACTGTCACACTCTGTTCCTGGGAAGTAGTATCTTCACTGTTCTCTGGTTGCCCCAGTCAGTTAAATGCAAATAATCTTTTTCTTTTGTCTTTGCTAATACTTATTGCATCTTTATTTTCTATTGTATTAATTTAAATTTCTTGAAACAATCTTAAAGTTACAGAAAAAGTCCAAAATGCAGTACAAATAATTATTTTCCTTAACTATCTCAAAGTAAACTGGAAACACAATGTCCCAACACTCCCAAAACACTTTGAGTATTTTCTACAACAATGATATTCTCTTATAAAGCCATAATACGACCACCAAAATCAGGAAATTAAAACTGACACTTCACTACTGTCTAACCTTAGACTCCATTCTAGCTTCACCAGCGTCTCAAGATCTTTGTCCTTTATACCAACAGGATCCAGTACAACCTTGCGTTGGATTTAGCTGTCATGTCTCCTTAGTCTCCTTCAAAATGGAACTCTTCCCTCGATCCCCTACTTTTGAAGATTATAGTCCACTTATTTTCTTAGAAAGTTCCTCATTTTGGATTTGTCTGGTGTTTCCTTATGATGAGATTCAGATTATGGAGTTCTGGCTGAGTAATACAGAAGTGCTATCAGGTGGCACACAACCAGGATTTGTACTATTCCTAATAATATTCACACTGATCAGCTGCCATGGTCAAGTTACTCTTTTCTACTTTAATTACTAAAGACATTGTGGGAGGTACTTTGAAACAACGTACAGTCAATTCTTATCATTTGTGGTAGTTATGTTCTAAAAAGTTGCCATGAACATTTAATTAGTGAATATCATAACATTGCTCCTAGAGAAATACAGGGTTAGGTTCCTATGTGCAACATTTTCATCAAATGATCAATACATAACTTGTTTTATACATGTTTCTGTGTTGGGACACCATATATATTGAACTTGAGGCCAATGGTGCTGTAACTCATGGCTGAATGAAGCTTATCTAACACATATTTTCTCCATAAGGCACACTGTAGTCTGCTTACACTTAGGAACATTACACAACACTTCATTACCACACCTGGGGTCATTTTAAACAGTACAGTCACCAACAAACAGCATAAAAATGCAAAATGTGGCCATTAAATCAACACATCAACACACACACACACACACACACACACACACACACACACACACACACTTCTATTCCAAAACACTATGGAGAGTGCATTCTAATTATCTCCTTAAACCTAGCTAGCTCCCATTATCCTTAATATTAGGGCATACCTATAAGAACAACCTTCTGCAAGTAACCAATCTTTTGTTGCTGTCCTCTTCTCTGCACCCTCTCAGACACATCCTCTCCTCACCCTGCTCAGCTCTGACAGCCTGTGCCAGATCAGCCCTCCACGAGAATGCCCATTTTACCACATCTGGGCTGTCCCAGCCTGCACCACACCACTGCCTCCTTCACAAGAACACGCTTCTTTCTCAGCCAGCTCTGGCCCTGCAGCTCCCTACTTCTCCAAGTGAGACGCCTGCATTGTTCAGCACTTCCTTATGTCTTCTGAACTCAACTGTTCTGGAAAGGTAGAAAAAGGGGAAGGACAATGCAAACAATTCCGACAGCTGAATTTTTTACTCACTATCTCCTTAGTATCTAAGTATTTTAAAATACACAGATCATATAGACAATTTAGATCCTTAAGTTTGGCCAATAACTTCTTTATTTTTAAGTGTTTATTGATTTTCAGAGAGAGGGAGTGAGAGGGAGAGAATGATAGAAACAACAAATGATGAGAGAGAATCATCGATACACTGCCTCCTGCACACCCCCGACTGAGGATCGAGCTCGAAACCCGGGCAAGTGCCCTGACCAGGAATCGAACCATGACCTCCTGGTTCATGGGTTGATGCTCAATCCCTGAGCCACACCGGCCGGGCAATTTGGGCCAATAACGTAAAGAAGTTAAGAAGTTGTGGCAGAAGTATGGTGTAAATGTCCTTTGACCTTAAAGCAACTCCATTATTTTAGAGCCTTGGTAATTTTCCTTTGGTTGGTGATTCTGCCTGTTCACAGTAGTCATTGTTTTATACTATTAGTAACACAATTTTTGTGCTCAGTGGATACTAGTTGCAGCAGGAAACTGTATATGTATTTGCTGTCATCTTTTGACCTTATACAGTAACTCCCCCCTTATTCGAGGTCCTGCTTTCTTCAGTTTCAGTTGCTTGCAGTCAACCTCCATTCAAAAATATTAAATGGAAAATTCCAGAAATAAATAATCCCTGAGTTTTAAACTATCGGCTGCCGGTGCCACCCCCTTCCTCCCAGGACATGAGTCGTCCCTTTGTCTGGCATGTCCACGATGTCCACGCTGCCCACTCACCAGTCACTTAGTAGCTGTCTTGTTATCAGACTGACTGTCACACTGTAGTGAGTATGTCCAAGTAACCTTGATTTTACTCAATAATGTCACACTCATGTAACTTTTATTACAGTATATGGGTATAATTGGTCTATTTTATTATTGTTGTTAATCACTTATTATGCCTAATTTATAAATTAAACTTCATCACAGGTGTGTATGTGTAGGAAAAAACAGTATACATAAGGTTCACTACTATCCAGTTTCAGGCATCCACTGGCGCCTGTGGTCTTGGGACAAATCCCCCGCAGAGAAGGGGAACCGCTGTGTCTATAATACAGGAATCCAGGCAGCTTTTGACAGGGTGGTGGAAATGTGCCCAATGACCAACAAATACAGGAACAGTTTTGTTAGGATTGTAGATAAATAGGTAACTGTATGGCTTCTAGAATTTTTTCAATGTTATATTTCCAGTAAAAAAAAAAATTCTTAAAAGGCCCATAACTACAAATGAGATCATAATTTCTCCGATGAAAAAAACAGTTGATTTCCTTCATGCCATCAGGAATATGTCACTCTTTCTCCATATTTACATTATCTGCCAACAATGATTGTTGCTACTCTTTGTTTTACTTTCAGAGGCTCTAGGACAAGGATAACAGACACGTGGCCACACCTCCAGCTCCCACACCAACTTCTGTACCTGACTGAAGTTCACCAGAAGGAAACCCTGATCTAGATCATCCGCTCCAGGAACCAGGCACCATACCTATTTATCACCTCATGACTCCACGTCCTGGCTCATGGATGAAGGGAAAGGGGCATACTTGAATAAATATGACACTGGCAAAGTGGCTTGGACCTGGTTTCCTTTCATTTCTATCCCTCTCTGTTTATAGATAGCATTCTAGGTGTTCCTTTTTTAATTTAAAAGAATTCAAACCCCTCCATATGAAAGCAGACTATTCTCATTAGAAACTGTGAACAGAGTAATCACTGATTACTTCTGGCATAAAAGGTAACGCACTACCTCTGCACGCGGTACACTCGAGTCCATGGAGGCACAAGGGCAAGGATCCGAGCCACCAATTCAATCAGGTCGCTAGGCGAATAACTCTTATAGCGTCCTGATTTCCACAGCTCATAAAGCCCAGTTCCACGAATCACCAAGGTTGGGTAAAGTTTTAAACCATCGGGACGAAAAGCAGGGTTCTCAAAAAACTCCTGTGAATAGAGAACAGAAGATTACTTCTTCATTAATTATGTAGAGATTACGCATGCAAGTTTCAAACCTGGGCTGGCGTCTCTCACATACCTGCCTGGTCCTTAGAATGCCTTTCCTTTCCACCCAAGGAGGGGATGCAGACAGAAGAGGAATCCATTGTTTTTACAGCCTCACTAGGGCAAAGCATGTTTGCTGGACCCAAGGCCCTCATCACAGCCCTGTCCATTGCTGCAATGTCACCGCACGCCACTCTCACCACCTTGCCTTTTCGCCCCTACAAAGGCAATTTTCTCTGCCTGGAAAGTCCCTCAATTTTTCTTCATCTACCTAATCTTCAGGCCTCAGCTTAAATGTCAGTTCTTCAGAGAGGCCTTCCTGACCTTCAAATATAAACTGCCTGACTTAAAAAAAAATCCTATCGAGTTCTATATTACCACTTTCTTAACATCATCATACTGACAATTTATCCAGTGCCTACCTTCACCGCTAGACTGTATAATCTTTTAATAATAAAACATATTGTGCCAGAGATCACCATCTGGCCTGCAAACCTAAAATGTTTACTATATGGCCCTATGCAGAAAGTGTACCGATCCCTGGATAGGACTATTTTGTCCTCAGACCAACTGGCACCATTCCTAACCTGGGACATACACTCTCCATTTGTTATCTGGACGTTGAGCGATACATTTTATTCATCTACTGTGACATAGCCATTTCCTGTACTATATCATCCCAGCTGGCTGCCTTATTTCTTTATTTGGGATGTAGCAGGAAAACATAAGGCAGTCTCCCTTCCATGACTCTGCACTCCTAATTTGTTCTTATCTTGATTTTGCAGGATATATGGTGGAGGAATGAAGGTGGACTCATACAGTTCCCTTCACCCCCACCCTAGCTTTAGCATCTATTCAGCCAGCAGTACCATATCTTCTGAACTATAAAATGCTTTTTATCTTGTGCTCTGTTATTCCTGCAGAGCTTTCCATTATTTAACTTGCTTTACAAAGAAATGTAACTGCAGGGTATTTGATCTCTCTCACTGATTTGTCATATTCTTAAAATGCTATATTCTTTGTGCACACTTTGGTCTTAAAGATATTTCCCTGTAATATTTATATAGTAAAGATTCATCAGGTCTTCAATAAATATTCCATAGCCATCCACAAAGAGCATGCATGCAAGTCATTCTCTTCCTAGTCTGATTCCGTATTGAAACATGGGGTTTCAGAAAAGTACTTCTGAAACTTGTATAATAAATTTAGGAGATATATGGGCTGACATACTCCTGTAAAAAGAATAATAGGTAAAACTGGTTCTAGATTTCTGGTTAAACACTAAGAATTTAAATATGTGTTTCTTTCCTTCCAAAACCATGCTAAATTTTTGTTTTAATTTTAAATTTTTAAAATTGATTTTAGAGAGAGGAAGGGGAGAGGGGGGAGAGAAGGGGGGGAGGGGAGAGAGAGAGAGAGAGAGACATCTATCGGTTGCCTCCACACACGCCCCACCTGGGATGGAACCTGTATCCTGGGTATGTGTCCTAACCGGGAATCAAACCCGCCACTTTTTGGTGTGCAGGATGATGCTACAACCAACCAAGGTCTGGAAGACCAGCCAAGGCCTTCCAAAACCATGCTAAAATAACAGGAAATAATACAATTTTTTAAAGTATAAATCAAAGGAGACAGGAGGGGAACAGGTGATGGAAGATTGGTAAATGACTTTGCCAGTGACATGAACTGCAAATAAAGTATCTGTAAAGTGGGACAGATACTAATGAAAGGCCAGCTCAGTCACACCCGCGTCCCAGAAAGGTTCATGGATCACAAGTACCAGGAACTGGGCAGGTGGGAGAGAACACTTGATCAAAACCTGTACATGAAGGGATTTATCCCTTTCCTTATCCCTTATCACCTTCCTACAGGCAGTTGCCTGACTTTTGCTGGAGATACTGGAAAGCCTCTGGACTCTGAGATTCCAGGTACAAAGGAAGGCCTGAGTGAGGACCCAGAGTGAAAACAGGGAGATTAAGTGAAGGCCAGCACGCTGACTGGTGGACTTCCTGCTGCAATTTTCTGTGATGTGCGCACAACACCCACTCCGAAGGAGGAAGCTGGAGAGTTATCTCTGGATCAATTAAATGGCTCCAAATAAGAGCTCCATATACTGACATTTGGAAATTCCCTACAGAAAGGAGAGCACATTACATGAACATCCTTCAGTGAGGCATACTGGCAGCTAGCTACATAGAGCTTGCAATCTGGTTTTTAAGCCTCTCACTTTCAAAGTATGACCATTTGGCTAAGGATCATTAGAAACTAGAAGCCTAGAACATAAAAAGCAGACCAAAACAAAGAGAGAAAAAGGAATTGGGGGGAAAGCAAGGCAAAATGGAAAATAAAACATAAAGAAAACAACTATAATAATTCCATCAGAGAGATAAGAAAAGACTTATTAATCTGTAAAACAAGGACAAGATACTAGAGAAATCAAACAGCCAGCATAAAAGAAAGAACCCTTAGAAATGAAAACTATTTAACAAAAGTCATTTAATAGAAAGGCTGAAAGATAAAGGTGAGAAAATAAGAAAGCAGAAAAAAAAAGGCAGATAAAACTAGAAAAGAATTTTATATGATCAGTCTGGGAAATCCAACATTTCTTAGTAGGTTTTAGAAAAAGAACATAAAAAAATGAAAGGGAGAACATTATCCTGTATAGTCTGCTCTTGTATCCGAGGATTCTGCATTTACAGGTTTAAAATATTCAGAAAAAAATGTTATGTTGTTACTGACAGGTACTGTATTGTTAGGCCTACAATGGTTGCATCTGCATCGAACACGTACAGCCTTTTTTCTTGTCATTATTCCCTAAATACTATAAATATAACAACTATTTTCATAGCATTTACATTGTTAGGTATTATGAGTAATCTAGAGATGATTTAAAGTATATGGGAGGATATGTGCATGTTATAAACAAATACCACACAATTTACATATGGAACTTGAGAATCTGTGGATTTCATTATCTAGAGGGGTTCCCTGAACCAATCCCCCAGAATACCAAGGGACCACTATAGCACAAAGAAATTTCCCAATGACAGGGTCCTTTAATATCGAACACAATTAATTTTAAAACTCTTGCCAAAATATACCTCTATGAAATTGCACTACATATGGGATAAAGAGAATTTCCTAAAATATCTGTATGGAAAAAAAACAAATTACATACATTATAGGATTCAGGAATAAGGAATATAAGATTAAGAATAATATTGTGGTTTTAATAAACATACATTTGTTGGTTATTTGAATTTCCTATCTGTGAAGTATCTGTTCAAGTTTTTCTGCCCATTCTCCTACTGGGCTATTTGTTTTTTCTAATTGATTTGTAGAAATTATTTCTTTTAAGGCAATTTATCAATTAATTTTGCAGAGAATTTTTCTTTAGGGAGGAATCAGATTTCTCATTTTAGCTCTTTTGTCACTCATTTGCTAGGATGCAGGTAGAAAAGGTATATGTTCTGCTCATATTCCCTGTAGGTTTCTCTCAAGATTACAAACCAGCAGATAAATCTATTTACATGAAGGACTGTCTTTGCAATGTTATTATTAAACTATTCTTTACAGTAGTTGCCTCCCTTATCTGTGGCTTCCCTTTCACTTACCCACGGTCTGAAATTTTAATGGTCTGAAAATATTAAATGGAAAATTCCACAAAACAATTCAATAAACAATTCATAAGTTTTAAACTGCTTGCTGTTCTGAGTAGTGTGATACCATCTCTCGCCAAGACATGACTCATCCCTTGTCCAGCATGTCCACCGTATACAATGCATTCCCATTCGTCACTTATTGGCTATTGCAGTTATCAGGTCAACTGCCAGGTATTGCAGTGCTGGTATTCAAGTAACCCTTATTTTACTTAATAATGGACCCAAAGTGCAAGAGTAGTGATGCTGGCAATTAGGATGTGCCAAGAAGCCGTAAAGTGCTTCTTTTATATGAAAAGATAAAAGTTCTCTACTTAATAAAGAAAAATAATCATATTCTGAGGTTGCTGAGACCTATCTGTGAAATTGTGAAAAAGGAAAAAAAAATTTATGCTGGTTTTGTTGTTGCACCTCATACTGCAAAAGTTAGGTCCACATTGCATAAGTGCTTCGTACAGAGAAGTTTGAGGGTAGGAGATATAAACAGAATGATAGCAATGTGCAGTGCAAGAAAGCATTGGGGCTACACAAAGACTCCAGCAAGGGATCCCTTAAAATGAGTGACTACAGCCACGGTGTGGCTCGGTTGGTTATGGCATTGTCCCATGCACCAAAGGGTCTTTGGTTTGATCCCCTATCAGGGCGCATATGTGAGGCAGCCAATCAATGTTTCCTTTCACATTGATGTTTCTCCCCCTCTCCCTTCCTCTTTCTAGAATCAATGAAAAACATATCCTCAGGTGAGTATTAAAAAATGAGTGACTACATTCACATGACTTTTATTACAGCATATTGCTATAGTTGTTCTTTGTATTATTAGTTACTAGAGGCCCGGTGCACGAAATTTGTGTATGAGCAGGGTCTCTGGGCCTGGCCAGCAATCAGGGCTGATCTGTGGGACGACTGGGGGACTCCCACTGGCACCTGCCTTGGCTGGCCTGAGGCCTGCATGCTGAGGGCAGCTCCTGTGACGAGCGTCTGCCCCCTGGTGGTCAGTGCACGTCATAGTGACCGGCTGTTCTGATGTTCCGTCGATTTGCATATCAGACTTTTATTATATAGGATTGTTAATCTCTTACTGTGCCTAATGAATAAATTAAACTTTATCACAGGTACGTATCTGTAGGAAAAACCACAGCATATATAGGGTCCAGTACTATCTGCGGTCTTGGAAGGTATCCCCCATGGCTAAGGGGGAACTACTATATTTTGAAGACACTAAGGAAATGGACACCGAGACTCAGATATTCGCTATTATTTGAAACATGACACATTTTTTCCAAAGGCACTTACAGTTATGAATGCAGGCTATCCCATTTGCCCACCTAGGAACTGTGTTAAAGAAAAGTGTGTTTCAGGTGCCTTTTAGGTTTGGAGTCTGAGTTCCTAGCTATTAACTACTGAGCGGGTATCAGCTTCAAAATCTATTACACAGCCAATAAGGGGGAATCAGTAACAGTGACATCTGTGAATTAATGCTGTCTTATAAATAGGCTTTCAGCTGTAATTCACTGGCTTAAAAATAATAAACTTTTTAAAAGGAAGGAATTATTAACTTCACAAATAAGGCATGGTAAATTCTATCTTTTATAAACAGAGCAAAAGAAAAGTATTTCTGCGGATGAAATAACTTATAAATATTTTCATCATCTTCTCTAAAAGGCTATCCCTAAGACATTCTCTGTCTATGGATCTGAAGAAAAGTTTTGACCAATCTCGTTTCCCAAAACAAAACTAACAAGGGTTAAGTTAACATACGATAGAGTAAAAAGGAAAAAAAACACACAAAAAAACACACAACCAAATCCCAGAACTAGGTATTAAAATTCAAATAACAGAAAAGTATAAGAAAACAGTATTTTCTTTCACTGATTAATGAAATTCTAAAAGAGAATGGCAGTTCTAACCTTAGAAGTGTCTAAAGGAATCATCAAGCAAGCAAGAGAAAGATCTGAAAACAGGAGCAAAAGTGAAAGGCCAAAGATAGGGTGGGGAAAATATTTGTAAAAAATATAAAAAACAGTAAGTCCATAATGTCCTTACCTGGGTGTTCATCTAAATTAATATTAAAAATATTCATATCCAATAGAGTCAGAGGACAAAAACATACCAATTCCAAAAAGATGAAAGAAGTATAATTATTAGATATAAATTTGAAAAATATATTACTATTATTATAAAATGCAAGTTGAAATAGCATCCATCAGGTTATCCATCAGGTTAGCAAATAAAAAAATATTATATGTACATATACATACAGAAAATACATAAACAGGAGACAACCGTTTGGGGGAAAAGATAACCCTGCTGAAATGAGTGTAAATTGTTACAACCCTCTGAAAAGCAAATAAAAAATGATGATATTTTTAAAGTATTAATACTTTCACCTAATAATTCTACCCCAGGAAATTTATCCTAAAGAAATAATCCTGCCCAGCCGTGTGGCTCAGTGACTGAGTGTCGACCCATGAACCAAGAGGTCAGTAGTTTGATTCCTGGTAAGGGTGCACGCTGAGGTTGCAGGCTTGGTCCCCAAGAGGGGGTGAGTAGGAGGCAGCCGATGGATGTTCTGCTCTTATCTCACATTGATGCTTCTATCTCTCTCTTCCTTCTCCCACTCCCCTTCCTCCCTCCCTCTCTCTCTCAAAATCAACAGAAACGTACTTTTTCTAAAAAAGAAATAATCCTAAATATTACACAAAGTTATAGGCATAAAATTGTTTACCTGAAGTATTATTTACACTATCAAAAACTGGTATTCAATTTTTAAAAATTTGGAAGTGATTAAGCAAAGTATGGCATATTTATTCACTGGAAATTAAGCAGATATTTCAGTATAAGCATTTTAACAGAGACCAAGCTATAACAGGATAAATGCCTGTTATAGTGTCAAGTGGAAAAGCTATTAAAAGAATTATTTATCATATATATAACTGTGCCTGTGTGTATACATGTATAAACCATCTCATCCCCCCAAAAACCTGAAGTCTAACAAAATCCTAAAAGGGAGTAAATGAAAATGTCAGGGCTTTACTTGGTGTTGGGCTGTGAGTGACCCCTCTTTTTCTACTGTGTTCCCACTACTCTATAATGGGAATGCACTGTCTTTTAATGGGAAAAATAATCAACAATCAATAATAAAAAAGAGCAGAGAGGATAGAGCGTCGTGCGGAGGCCTTCTAAACTGGCCGGGCGTAAGGTGACACTTACTATAAACTGTTCGATGTCTCTCTCCAGTCCCACGTTTGGCAGATCAGGCATCATATGAGCCACGACCTTGAAACCTGAATCTTTGGCCAGGTGGAATGACTCACATACCGCCTTCACGGTGTGGCCCCTGAGGAGAGAAAATCCACGTTACACAAATAAATGGGCAACAAGGTTAACACAAGGAGCAGAGGAAAAACAATCTCCGAGGCATGTAATGAAGAATAATATAGTTGGGGGAGTGTGTGTGTGTGTGGGGGGGGGGGGGGGGGAGAAACATTGATTTGTTGTTCCACTTATTTATGCATTCACTGGTTGTTGCTTTTATGTGCTCTGATTGGGGATGGAACCCACAACCTTGGCATGGTGGGACAACACTCCGATCAATTGAAATGAGGCCAGGGCCTCATTTTTACTTTTGGGATATTTCTCAGAAATTCCCTATGCACCCAATAAAGGTTCTGACACTAAAATTATTTGGTTTAGCAACAAAGGCAAAATAAGCTTACCAATGTAAATATCTAACTTAGAAACCAGATTAATGAGCTCAAAACCATGCAGAAGCAGCATCCTACTATTTCTTTTCCTTTTGAAATCTTTTGAAATGAGAGAGAGGAAGAGAGGAGACACACACATACCTATATACAAAACATATTTCACTCTGCTGGGTTGGAGGGTCCTTTAAAAAGTGAGAAGACATAATAATTTAGTGACGAGGCAGAATCACTTGGGCCAGACGGATCAGTCATCTTATCATTCTAGTGCCCTAGGCAAGTAGGAAGCAAGCTCAATTAAGAGTTTGGAGCTACCAAAGACTGAAGCCTGTGTCAATCCTTTCACCACCAAAACGTTCCCATTCACCACCAAGCAATCCTGGAGACCAGGTATTCCGTCATTTCCATGACTTCCACTTCTCACCTCTTTTTGCTAATAACCTCCCAATTTATGTGATTAGGCTGGACCTCTCTCCTGATACCACACCAGGATAGCCAATACTCTATAAAGCTGCACTGTGCAACACTGCAGTTCATTAGGGACATGTGGTTTTTCAAGTCTATACTTAAATTAATTAAAATGAAAAATTCCGTTCCACAGTTGCACTATCATATTGGAGAGCGCTGGTAAATCACATTTCGATCACTGCAGAAAGTTCTGTTGGACAGTCTTGCTCTAAAACAAGCTTCAACTGGATGTTCCACAAATATCTAAAACTCAGTATATGTAACTCATCTTTCCTCCAAACCTCCTCTTCTCCCCAGTCTCTCTTACCCTCATTTCCACTCAGTCACCAAACACTGTCATTCACTTTTCAGGGCATCATTTCTTGCTTAAATTACTGCAACAGCCTGTTAACTGGTCTTCCTTCTAGCTTCCTCTTAATCCAACCCCATACTGTGCTCCCCATAAAGTAATATTTCTAAAATGCAGAGATGCTTGTATCACAACTTACCTTACAACCTGTCCTTGGGTTACAGCCCAAACTTCAAAGGCCTCTCAGAATTTGGCCCCTCTGGCTACCTTTTCAGTCTCACCTCTTACTGCTTTCCTACCTCACACTCTACACCGCTAACCAAACTAAACCACTCTGAATTCCCTAAATGTGTCATGTGCTCCCATCCTCAGCAGTTTGCTCTTATTTTTCTTTCTGCCTGAAATAATTTTTCTCTTCCACATCTAAGTCATACTCTTCCTTTAAGTAAGATATCAGCTTAGATGTCCTTTTCTTCAGAAAGCTTCCCTAATTTTTAAGAAACTTTTCATCTCCACAGGTTCCTCTCTAGCACAGCTCTCCATTCCTGCAGCAGTCCAGCCAGTGCTCCTGGCTAGTCTTCCCCTACAAGAATGCATTCTATTTAGGTTAATCTTCTCAAGCCTGATACCCATCAGAGTCTTCCCTGTGCTCAAAAAGACTCAACAGACCTCTATTACCTCACAGAAAGACCCCACCCTCCTTAGCCTGGCATCCTTCTTGGTTGACTCTAAGATGCTGACCATGTATGTCTCCCTAGTTCCCCTTTACTTCCCTCTCCTGGCACAGCCCCCAATCACGTCTACACAAATCGAATTCAAGTAGCCTTTAAGGTCCAAATCAACACAAACCTGCTCCCTCAAGCCTGCCTTCACCACCCTAGGTCAGTGATCAACGCTGATTAATAAACTCCTGAAATCTTTTTTTACTAATTTACCAATCAATCACAAAGTTCCTTCTACAGCTAGCCTTTCATCTGTACCTTTTCCCCTCAACTCAGTGACAGTGTTCTAGAAGGAAGAGAACCTCACATGGCTCTCTCAACCTGTTTTTCTTTCCTTCCTTACACCCCCAAATTTCTCAATGTTTATACCCATTACCTCACCAACCTTTCTCCCACTACCCTGTCAACTGGCATCTGCTTCACAAACACTAATCTCTCTTAAAACTCACCCTGACTTCATTTCTATTCAAACTCTTTTCTTTGTTCCCATTCTCCTTTGCTTTCTCTCTTACTTTAACTACTGACCTTGAGCCCTAACTTCTGCTAACCTTTTGGGAAGGCTGTTTATGACAAGACGAGGAAGAGATCTACTAAGCATGTGTATAGGCAGCTGGAAAAAGTCTGTAGACAAAGACTGAAAGTCAAGGGAAGAGGGGTAGAGCAGAGATAGAAGAATGAGTCTAAAGGAGGAATGCCTACACCTCTTTCTTTAAGAGTGGTAGGAAGAAGGGAACATGTATATAACTGGTGGGAGAAGAGGAAGGCTTGTGCAAGAGCATTTGCCATCATCTCACCTGTTGGTATCTCTGGCCACATCTTCGTAGACACTCTGCACCCCAATCTCCAGCCTTGTACAGCCATAGGTCAGCATGTCACTTAAATGCCGCTTCATGCAATAATCAGGTCTGGTCTCAATAGTAATTCCAATACACTTTGTGAGGCTCCTCTCAGAATACCTGTAGAGCAAATCTGGAAGTAAACCACCTGCCACAGCTTTAGGACTATGCTTCCATTTAAAGCAGTGGATCTCAACCTTGGCTGCACATTAGAATCACCTGGGAATCTTTTTAGACGAGATTGGCGCGTTCAGGGTGGTATGGCCGTAGACCACCTGGGAATCTTTTTAAAATCCTGATTTCTGGGCCTCATCCTCCGGAAATTCTGTTTCTTTGTTACTAATGTTGTGGCCTCACCCCATAACAAAGAAATAGAATTTCTGGAGGATGAGGCCCAGAAATCAGGATTTTAAAAAGATTCCCAGGTGATTCTAATGTGCAGCCAAGGTTGAGAACCACTGATTTAAAGGATTGTATTCTTTTCGTCCTCCCAGAAAAAGACAGTGGTTAAGAGCATGGGCTTTGGAGCCAGGCTATTTAGATTCAAATCCTGGCTCTGTTATTTCCTAACTATGCAAACAGGAATGCCATTAACCTCTCTGTGCTTTGGTATCATTATCTGCAAAATGAGGATAATAGTACCTATGCCTCCTAGAATTGACGTGACTGAACTAGCATACAGTGATGTTGTCATCATTATCATTCTTTTGCAGTATGCTACAACCATATTCTCCTTGAAAGCAGTGATTTCAATGGTCAAAACTCTATTTTTCAATTCTTAGCAACGATTTTTCATAAATGAAAACCACCTGTATTACTTATTTCACACTCTATATTTTTGTCATGTTAAATTAAAGAAGGGAAGGAAGTTATGTATAATGATCGTAGGAATAATTTTGGGGAAATATCTTCTACATATAAGAAAAGTCTTTCTGCCAAGCCAATTAATCTTAGCGAATGATTTACAAAATTAAGAATCTTCTTTTCTCTTCTGTTAAAATCACATACCAGAGTAGTGAGTACCACTTTAGATGCAAGATGCCCGAGTTAATGGCCGCAGTGCTGGCCAAAACTCAGATAAGTAAAAATGACCTGGTAAGGGAGCTATTGATGTAGGAATAGAAACTAATATTCAGAGACCATTGTGGCCAAGCACTATGCTATATATACTCCATACATATCAAATGATCCCATCAGCTCTATGAAGCTTGTCTTATTATCAGTTTTACAGATGAAGAAACTGAAAATCAAAGAGATTAAATACTTTGTTCATGGGTACACAGCTCACAAAATTCAAGTCAGGATTTGAAGTTGGGTCTATCTGACTTCAAAATCTTTGCTCTATATTTCTTTTCTTTTTTTTAATCCTCGCCCAAGGATATGCTATTGTTTTTTAATTGATTTTAGAGAGAGAAGAGGGGCGAGGTGGGGTAGAGGAGGCAGAGAGAGATCTCAATCGGTTGCCCTCTCGCACCCACCCCACCCGGGGATCGAACACGCAACCTAGGTATGTGCCATGATGGGGAATCGAACCTCTCAACCAACTGAGCCGCCTGGTCAAGGCTCTATATTTCATTTTATCACAGTGCTCAAACAATTCATTAGACATCAGATTTCCTTTTCAACTTCTCTAAATGTCCTAGAATCCAATAATTCTTCATGACGCACCCTTTCTTAACTTTCTCGATTCTTTGGGGAGGGTTAGACAAGCCTCTTTTTTTGCCATTAAATTTAATTTCCTCCTTTCCAAAGAAGTTCATAGCTCTTCCTTGAAAAGTAAAAAATCATAAAATTTCCATCCTTTAAGACTACTCCTTTATTGTCAATAAAAACTTATTTAAAGTTAATATTAGTAATAACTATTAAGAAAGTTAAGAACCACAGAACTGGAAGAATGATTCTGAAGTCTTTCATTATAGACAGTCAAATTCTTTTGTACTGTTTATTACTGTATTCTATAAGGTTCTTCTGTATAGAATTATATGAGCGATAAGACTAAAGTCAAACAACTAGTCCAAGAATCGTAAGACAAAAAAGGGCTCAGATTTTATAAAATAGTCTAAGAAAGAATACTAAATCATTTGACTTTTCTGAAACAATCTAATCAGAAAGCACCAGGCCTCACAAATAGACGGGTACCAAGGCCTGCAGTAACAACGGTATGTAATGCCATACGATAAATGTAACTCATCTTCTTTAAATATCAGTTACTGTTTGGGGGGGAAAATTATTTTTTAAAATTAAAACAAACACATATGGAGAAAGAAAACTGCATGAAGGATACTTTAAGAAACAAAAAGCAGAAAAACTCAGAGCATATTTAATTAAGTAAATGAGAACATCTCAGAATCAGACATTCCAAAATCATATCATAACCTTCCTATTAATCCATATTTTAATAAAGCCTACAGTATTACTTAAAGGATACCATGAAGTTAGCAAGCTCATAGCACAAGAGTAGCCTGCACCACTGGGAAAAAACTAGAAGGTAGGCAATAGCACAAATGGAATTTGTCTAGAAGACAGAGAAAATTCACTAGCTAATCTTCTATTGCACAGCTTGTTAAAGGCCCAACCAAGACGTATAGAGGAAACTGCTGCAGGGATGATAAGGTTTCTTCATAAACAGAACACAGCATAGGACGTAGAGGCAAATCTTATTCTCAAACAATAATCTAACTCCGTTTCAAAATGTCTTCCTTCTGGGGAGAAATATCATTACCCTTTGCAGGAGCAGAAATGGAGAAATAAAAAATAATTCAAGTTTTAAAAAGCCAATTATTTTATTTATAAAAGGCTTTTACTACTATCTTCTTTTCAAAATTTTATTTGCATTTGAAAAGCAACAAGCAGAAATTCTTAACAAATTTGAATGTAAAAACAATGGAATATTTTCCTAAAGAACAAAGTATAAGGTATTTTTTCCTATAAGATTGCTGTATTTTTATTAGAATGTTTTGTTAACGTTATATTTAGTCCTACATATCACTGAATCTGCCTCTTCATTTAACAGAGATGTGGACATATTAATATGATTGTTCATTAATATGCAAATATGTGCATAAACTTTTTGTCTTATCTAAGTAAAATATTTGAATTGACATCTTATGGCCTATTATAATCCTCGATATCATTTAGACAGTCATCAATGTATGGCTATCTTTAAGGACCTAGTTCAACTCCCACACCTTCCAGGAGCCACACGCTTCTTAAGTTCTTGGGCATTTAGGAAATGTGCCAAATATTTTCCAACCCTGACCATAAGAGACAGGGTTTTCTAAGAGACAAAGTCAGGACTTGTACACAGGTCTCCTGATTCCAATTTTACTGCTCTTTTTGGGTTAGTACAGGATCTCAAAAGCCTCTACCCTGGCTATACTGCATCCTACACTTTTCTGTATGCCATAGGAGGGGCACCAACTATAAAAGATGCTGTTCTCCGCGAAGCATAACTTAAACCAATAATTTATGTTGATAACATTTTTAACAAGGGGATTTTGGGGAAAGGGGTGAAGATTGGACAATAACCTGTAAATTTAAAAGCAAACAAAAATCAAAAGCTACCCAACCTTCAAAAAGGACAAACACATGTCCCCTCTCTTGACACCTTCCCACCACCTCTCAGTGACAACCATGTGCTCCCATTCCTAAAGCACTTTGTCCATACTAAGTACAGCTTGCCTCGCTATCTGTGGATACCCCTGTCTTCCCACTGTGACAGGAAGTTCCTGGAAGGCAGTATAAGCTCCAACACATTTAAAGGTAACTGCTTAAAGGCTTCAGCACCAAAAACACTCCTTCAATATAAAAAATACAAATATGAAGAATGAACACATGAATTAGCCATAACTGAGGATAAAGGAGGTCTCTCTTCACTCCCAGAGCAGCATCTAGATCAGTGGTTCTCAACCTTCCTAATGCCGCGATCCTTTATTACAGTTCCTCATGTTGTGGTGACCCCCAATTTCATTGTTACAAATTGAACATAATTAAAGCATAGTGACTAATCACAAAAATATGTAATTATATATGTGTTTTCTGATGGTCTTAGGCGACCCCTGTGAAAGGGTAGTTTGACCCCCAAAGGGGTCTCGACCCACAGGTTGAGAACCGCTGATCTAGATCATTCCACTGCTTACCTTTCATCTTTCAAACAATCAACCCTAGAAGATACCTACTAGGTCAGATATGCTACAGGAAGTAAACATACAACAGTTCTTATCCCAGACATGCTTAACAATCTAGCTGCAGGGATAAGACACCCAGATAAAACCAAGGCCCAAGAACAAAGCTAGAAGTGGCAGAGATATAAATGGATATAGATTATTTCTTGGGAAGCATACTTCTATTTCAGAAAGGAAGAAAGTGGCCTCTAAAAGTGATTTTCCTCTGTCCTTGCTCTAAGGGACATGAGGAAATACAGCACATTGAATATTAAGTCTCTTTATAATCATCTGGAAACTGTGCTTTGATTCACTCAAGAAGGCTGTGGCATCAAAGAGCATTTCTCATTACTATCAATATGCCGCAGACCTCCTTAAAATCCTCTGTCATAAAAGAAGTCGGATGTGCCTCAGTCCCATCCTGTGTGAATCCTCAATGCAGCTCCAGGCCCACATTCATGAAAGGCTTGTGGAAAGTTTCCTACGTGGACATCTCTCTACCTCAAACTCAATCTGCTCAAACCAAACTGCAAAATATATAATAATGACAAATATTATTTACCGTTATTAAATTAAATAATAAAAAACTACAGGAAGTAATAATAACATTAAAGTAGATAGTAAGTGAAATATTAATTTTCATTAGTCACAATGTACAAACTCTTCCCTGCATCTACAGTCCCAGAATGAGTAAGCAGATTTTGTTAACTTCTTTGGCCAGCCAAAGATTTGTTTGAACTGCTCAATAACATCTGGAGTTATCGGTGTACTTCCTAAGAAGTAGCACCAAAGAACACATTTGTTTTATATAATCAATCGTATCTGGAAAATATCTCAAAATTGTATGTTCTGGATAATGCTGTGCTAGTGATATTATACACAAGAATGATTGAGCTAAATGGTGTCTTAAGAGGATTAAAAAATAACTATCTCCCCACCTCTTTTTTTGAGATGGTA